CGAGCGCCTCCTCCTATCACAGATTATTAGAACTAGGACCACCCCTCACCCCAGCGTAGCTCAGACCCAAGTATGGGCGGAATTCGAAAAGTCTCGCACGCTCCTCGACGGCAGAACTTTCGAAGCCGATTGCAACGTGCATTGTCCTTGTCGTCTTCTGAGTCTGAGGATACTGGTAGTCCATCCAGATCCGCTACAGGCGATACCACAGAGGACGATTCATCCCCTCAGGAGGAACACGACTCTGTCGACCAGGACAATAGCACCTCGGCCGAGGAGAGTGAGCAAGAAGCTGTACGACAGCGGAAGACTGTGTTTGGACACCAAAGGGACTTGGAACCACGCAGGCAGACTAAGCTTTCTGGCGATAGCAATTCGGTTGCTCTGGAATGCCTGACAGAGTAAGTACAATCCCGTCAAGGTCATAATTTACAACTGGCCTGCTAACAATATCCAGACTAGATAATCGAATGAGGTCAGCTGTTGTCCATCCCGAGTGAGAATTTAAGTGCTAACTGTCTCAGCAGGTCTATTGAGGACTCGTCGCATGACCAGGCCACCTGGAATGAAACCATTCGCAACGATCTGGCGGACATTTTCGGTCGATTGGCAATCGTCGAAAGTGAGATCCAGAAGGGGACCAGGCAGGGTTCAAACAAAGCTACAGAGGGCCAGAAGATCGGCCGATCCTTGCGTCGGCAGCAGTGATGCGATTCAAGCTTGATTTACTTTGGTATCAAATCATGTATATCAGAGTAATATATAAGTCTGTATTGGTCTTGCAGTATGACCAGCAGCTCAACCGACAGAATATGGACACGCTCATCATCGATGCTGGAGTGGACGGTCACTGGACAAGCCTCGATTGGCTCAGTGCCAAGCTAATGCCATGGCGAGCGATGGACCGTATGTCGTTGCATGGGGTGTTTGTATTTTACCAGTGATCTTCTAAGCTATGCAGACAGAAACTATGACTGGTATATGAATTGTGCCGAGATGGCTCTCCTGAACCGACGGCTATAGTCGCGAGCCACTATATGTTGCCGAGTAGATTACATATTTGATTAGTTCCATCATTGTAGCTGATTTGTATTGCCTGGCCCACCATGCTTGTAATAGGTCTGTATAAGTAAGGAAATTTTCAAGAAGGCTAAAGTACAGTAGTGCTCAAGAATCGCACACATGCAACAAATGATCAAAGATTGGTTGCGGCTATTGAAGTACGATCCTTAGCGGTTGATACTCGCACAGCAGTGCCACGTCTATCGACTTGCGATATCTCACTCAACGAGAAACTGCTATTTGTGATTGCGTTGGACCAGAATACTACGGCAAGCTTTGGCTGAACGCTGAGAAGAAATAATGACTATAATGCGCAAGGGAAGCGGGGTTTCTCCACGAAACCCATAGCACAGATATTAGCAATATACGGATCGGACTATTAGCAATGCGCTTCCTTTACGGCATGGGGAGCCCACGCCAGTAACCAATCCACAGGCCCGCGTGGCAAGGTCTTTTATCTCATCTGCAGCTTATCTGAGCGTCTCTCCTTGAGAGATGTGATGCTGAATACTGTATCGAGGCGCAGGTGCTTGGGCGTGCTCATATTACGAAAGCACGTAGCCCTGCTCTTGAGGAAAAATTAATAGAATTTACAATACACACTGTCTGTCACGGGACATATATAATTCAAAAGTAGCAAAATACTTCTTCACGAACTATCTACGCGTCAACTACATTGAAAAGGCCGTCTTCTGCAGGAAAGTGAGGACTCACTCAGACCAACGCACCCTAACTGTCAGATAAAGGATTCATCTCAGTGGTGGTAGGTAGTTCATGTTGAGTACCAAGCTGGACATTGTCATTGTTCGATTGAGAGATGCTGGGGAGCATATCGTGGCCAAACGTACCCGCTCCGCCCTGATCGGGCCATTCTGCCTCGATCATTCCGGAGCCTGGCAAATAGGACGCCAGTTGTCTGTTCTGGAAGGCGTCGATCGTGCTCCAGAATCGAGTGGTCGCGGAAACCAGCTCTGCGTGTGCCTGATCCAACACCAGCTGTATATCATTCCACGGGACCTGATCTTGCAGTGCGGTGTTCGTAGAGTCCAGCTGCTGTTGCAATTGGCAAATCTCCTGCTGTAGCTTCTGCTGCTCGGGTAATGCAGCATCCCTTGCCGTAACTGCGATTTGCAATTCCGAACTCTTTTGCGCTTTGTCGGCTTCGAGCTGGTCCAGCAACTGAGAAAGATCGTGGTTCTCTCCATCTCTCTCCCCAAGCACCTCTTGAAACTCCTCCTCAATATTGCTCATCACCCGGAGACACTTTATATGCGTCGCTTTGTCCTTTTTCCTTTTGGACTTCTTCATAATGGAGGATGCCTAGCATGGTCAGAAAGAGTACATTCAAATAAAGAGGTGACACCGGGGCTGTTCTGGCCACAGCGAAGTACGAGCAGACAAATTGAGCATTGGCGTACCAAATTTCTGTGTGATCTAGTCACCGGCTTGCGGGAATTTCGTTCATCCTTGGATTTAGAGCCAGTAGAACAAACAGAATAAGACGACGGTGCAATACGCAGCTGTACTCCGTCAGACCTGAGGTCTGCGTCATCCTGAGGAGGCTTGGGATTCTTTGCCATGGTCGAACTTTTGTTTCCCTCAATCAACAGTGAATCAACGAGGCACAGAAGGATGAGAAAAGTATCAGCAGTGACCTTCCGGGAAGCTGGCACTACGTAGGAATAGGGAGCGTAACATCTGAAACAGAATACAGGAGCTCTCACTCCTACCAAGCAGCTGCGTCGGGACCAGGATCGCGAACTCAAAAGACTGAAAACTACTTTACATACCGGGCCCCGTGGAGCGTTAGCGTGAAGGTACTAAATTTCTGCCGTTCGATTGTAGGGGATGCGAGCAAATGGTCCGCACAAATCTATACATAGATGCGGTATAACGCTGTTGAGGCATAATAGAGTCCAATCGGCCTCAAATAATATCCCATGTTGAGATTTGGACCCTTGCTCCTTATCTCTCAGGCGTGGATCTCATGGACAGTACTGAAACTGCCATCATGGTCTACTCAGTGGGCCGCAAGATTTACACTGGTCTATCGTGGAGACTTCGGACATGTCGATGTAAGTTCGCCACTAGACTGCTAAGGTCTAGAGGTCTCCAATTAAGCTGAAATTTTGGTAAGTTATAATGGAGTAGTTAAATATCCGCTAGTGCAGCCTAGTAGTTATCGAGAAAAAGGCGATTGAAAATTGGAAATGTTTTGATGGGGTGTGGGAACTGGGCCAGTTAGGATTGCGACCGGGGCCTGAGGCTTCACTCCAGGGTTTCGGACGAATTGAATGGCATTGTCAACCTCCGGATTGTTCGGTACCTTCGCTTTCTTGCCATTTGTTGACGGGCATTCTGCCGATCAATTATCACGGGGCCGAGTCAGTGGTAAACGCATTCTGATCGGAGTACGAAACGACTTGCTGTGATTCCTCGATTCAGTTTTGCTGATCGGTAAATAGAACAATGCCAACGATGGCGTCCCTCTGAGCAACCCGAACGTGATTGGCAGAGCGCGTTAGTGGACTATGTCAAGACTACATATCCTATCCGCATTTGACCGCGGATGATGTCTTAGAGCTTATAGAGGTCTATAAGTACCAAGACTCCCAGCCTACTTCCTCCGCTCCACTTTTCGACACACTAGGCAACACTGCGGCAAGATCAATTCGACGGTGCCTGTGGCCGGGAATGGACTGATTGACTGGCCCAATTTCACCCTTGGCAATCCATGGCAGAAGAATCTGAATGCCACTGGAGGCACTATTGCTACGGTCTATGTTACCCCCAACATTACTTTCTATGGACATCTTGGCCCTGGCATTGTCAATGACTTCCACTTCGCGAATTCTTACACTTAGAAGGGTGGCCGTGGCCGTCGCTGCGATTTCTGGCTTAACGTCTCCCCGGTGTCCCACAATGAGACCGAATATACGCATCTTTTCTGTGCATAGAATATGCTATCCTGGCTGGATCTATCTCGGCTCAACGTGTAATTCCCCAAAATGCTCTGACATGAAAAAGCGGATAGCAAAACGTTTACCATAAACACCAAATCCCACTATGCAAATTCACAAGCAGGCTTCCGCACTTAAGATATTTCTCAAACAACAGCCTAGTAGTCCACCCAAGGCCAACCAAGACCCTATTCTCGAATAATTAAACGTGTCCGACTAGAGTTTCGCTTGAGGATGTAGCTGTATACCAGAACTGGAAGAGCATATCCTCAAAGAAGAGGGCTATACGAATACGAACTCTTGTAGCAAGGGGTCTCCCAATCATAGGGAAAGACGGTCTAGTTTTCACCTTCGTGTTGTGAAGTTTCTGTTCTGAATATTTCATTTAGTGTTCTCCATATCGTTGTATTCTGCCTAAAACGACAGCTCTTGCTCCTTATGAATGGCGATGTAGCATATCTGAATGAGCTATATTTACTCATCAAAATATGATAATTCGCCTGACCATGTCTCATGGCTATTTTTCTGCGAGTGGCGCCCTTGCTTGCCATGATGCTTGATATTTGCTTGCCTCAGTGTAGACAACTGAGATAGAATCACGTATAGCAAATTTCAGTCAAAGACTGTCGTCTTTCTTGCTACTTATTGTTACGGTTCGTGTTCTCCAGGAGATCGAGACGCCGCAAATACAAATTCCGTGTTCTAGCCAGTCTAGAACTTAATGGTGTTGTTAATCTGGGAATAGTCCTATGTCACGCCTTTCTTTGCTTCTGGGCGGCCTAGTCCCCGGCCAGTTCACTCGAAAATTCCAGGTTACCTTGCGCGGCGACCAGCACCAGGGACGCGTCGTCCGGTTCTAGGATCGATATTCAGCTAGGAGCCTCCTCATCTTACGTAGACATGAAGCGATGAGTGCAGGAGATACGATATGGACAGCCCACGTAGCTTATCTGGTTTCCCCGGACGAGGGGAAGCTCCTCACAAATTCGCAGGAAGTACCTGGGAGCTGCATTGTCTTTGGGGTCCGTACAAAGTATCCCAGCCGTGATCCCTTTCCCTCAATACGTGGTCCGCACGATAGTGCTGTGGTATCATGGCCATGGACTGGTTTAGCTGCTGCTGTTGTAGTTGATACTGTAGATGGCGCGTAAGATAGTGCTGAGGGGCGTGATGTTGCGGAGGTGCAAGTTCCTTGGCGGACTGTAGGATCATCGTCCAAGACTGTACACTCTGCGCTACCCCTGAAAGATAACCATCGTATACAAGCACTGAGTTCGTCTGAGCGCCCAGTGAGGAGTAAGGTCCCAGACTGTGCGATGCGGTTTGCGGAAAGAAATGCTGCGGTATGACAGGGTTCTGGTCTTGCGAACTAAAGATTGACATGGCCGCGGTAGTCTCGTGCTGGTCGGAATGTTCCAACGTCGAGCCCACCGAAGGTACTTGATCCAAAGATGCTAGAGAGTGCAAGCTGAAATGGTGCTTCGTAAGGGCAGCTTTGCGACGGAAACTACAACCAAGAACGCGGCAATGTGAGTCGGTAGACACTTCTGCAAGGGAGGGTTATATAAACGCTTTACCTTCGTCCGCAAGTCCGCTCTTGGCAGATGTACGGTCGCTCCCCCGTGTGAATCATTCGATGGCGGGCCCGAGTGGAGGACTGTTGTAGTTAGTAGATTTACCGGGTCCAAGGACCGGGGCGAGAGCTCACATCTGCGAAGGCTTTCTGGCACCCCTCATGGTCACAGATATATGGTCTTTCGCCGGTATGAGTCCTGGAATGTACATTCAAAGTGCTGCGCTGTATGAATCTCTTGTTGCAATTTTTCACTTCGCAATGATAGGGCCGGTCATTGGTGTGTATCCGATAATGGCGGCTCAGATCTGATTTGTGACGGAAAGACTGACGGAGTGATCGTATTAGTGTGCAAGCTGCAAGTTGATGCATGACTAGAAAGGAAAGAAACGCACCTTGCCACAGTGCTCCCAGGAGCAGGTAAAAACGCGCTTACTACCAGGGTCCATGACTGCGAATTGAGTGGTCCTCGACGCAGCACATGTACCATAATGAGGGTCACCGCTTGTGAACCAGAACGGAAAATGAAGGGTGGCGGTGTGCGGATAAGATATTAGAAGAAAAAGGCGCCGAAGGTAGCAAGACAGCGGAAAGCATGTCATTGACTGTCAGCGGCGCAAGCCGAAAGAAATCCGTCGAGGATCGTCTTCAGTCCTCGTCCGGGCCGTTCCGCGTCACTTGCCAACGCCCCACCGAAAACATGTAGATGAATTGGAGATTAGGGGCTGTCATAAACCTTGAATGGGAGAGTATGCTAGACTACCCCTAAACCAAATATGGCGATATTACCAAGTTTGACACCTTTTGACTGCTGCCAACCGAAAAGCTTCCTTCCGTGACTCTGCCATTGTCAAAAAGCCGCAGAACCATTCCAGTGGAGGCCTGCGGAAGGCTCTGGGTGCTCTTTCCCCTGTTTCTCCCCCGGTACTCTATTTTTACTTGAGTTGAAGATCCTTTTTCCGGGGTGCACGTCAGCCTTGAAGACCTTAGCACAGTTTTTAGTAATTTTCAGATGCATAAAGACACTGACTGTATATCTTAAAGGGGTGAAAGACGGGGCCGATTATTTACTATAGTGTCATTATTAGAACACAATAACGTCCTTGAATCTTCTGCTCTTTTCATCTCTTCTTCAACTGATTCAATTCAATTCAACTCATCTTTTTGGATGGGTCCCCTTGATAGATTGGCCCCATTCTTGCACACGATGCCGTACTGTATCAGCTTGCTCGACAGTAGGAGTTCAGCTCGTGAAGCAACAAAATTGCCTCCTGATAAAACTGTTGTCGCTCCTACAGCGTCGTCCCGCCACACAGCTGCCACCTACAGTAGTGAGGCCTGTCACAGCTAAAGATATGGGCCCACTTCGTCTCTAATAAGCTATTGTTGAGAAGTAGAGCGGTAACTTACTGCCTAGACAGTGGTTATACTGAGTGGCCCACCTTCCTTTTTGTTCGTATGGTAATTTAGTATCCTTGCCAATACAGCTACCGTAACACGGTGTATTGAGCCATCTATGGTGTATTTCGGCCTTATCCGAAGATTGGCTCCGCTTGACCTAACTTGTTGCCTATTCGCCCGAGAATATTACTAGCTTGTAAAATTACTAATCTATTGCCCCAGCTTTCTCAAGCAGGAGCTCCTACATACAAAACCATTACGATATCGCGCCGCTAAGGATTTCCTCATTTGGCGCATTTCCGCGAGTCAAGGGTGGTCTCACTGGTTTGTCCTGCAGCTAAACACGATGCACGGAACAACAATCTGCAATGTGTTCCTTGGGCGTATTACGTCACGCTCATCCCTTGAACGCAGCTTATCCTTATCAGTAACCTCCTGCGTCGAAAATGAGGTTACAGGTCTAGGCAAAGCGATGAAGTAAAGCATCCGAGATATGGAGTGATTGAGGGTGAGGCAACAGGGGTTGCGAAGCTGGCGGTAGAGGCCTTAAAACAGACCACATTGATGGGAAGATCAAACTGGGTTGACGAATAGGCTGCATTGTATGCTGATAGTGCTAAGAACAGTCAGCAAATTAGAAGGACGGCCCACATCTAGTACCTGGTAAGTGGCCGATGTCCTTTACCAGGCTCAATCTACTTAGCCGTGTCACGGGACGACCCCCCACCCTCTCGGGTAGGGGGTGTCCCTCAGCCATAATGCAATTCTCAGCCATAATGCAAATTCTCTACTTTTTCAACTTTACGTGTATTCCTACCTACCAAAAATGCCTAAAAACCTCGTGATAAAGAGGATCTGCTAGCTAAGGCATTACATGCTTATACTACGCGAGAATTTTCATCCCTACGTAAGGCTGCGGACCATTATCGCGTGTCTTATTCGAAGCTTCGCGGTCGCAAAAACGGACAGACATCTCTCTCCGATCGCCCTACCACCAATAATGCATTGAATTCGAATCAGGAAAATGCATTAATTAGCTGGATCGAATTGCTAAACTCTTGCTATACACCTCGAAATGCAAAAGACATTGAAATTGCCGTAAATCGCCTATTAAAAATGGCAGGGTCGGAGAGAGTTGTCGGCCCAATGTATAGCTATCGCTTTATACGGCGTCTACCTCCACACATCAAGCTTATTACCCAAAAACCAAAGGAATCTTTACGAATTCAAGCCGAGGATCCTGGGGTTATTAGCTATTGGTACGATAGGCTTGAGTATCTCTACCGTGAGCATGGTTTTGAACCTCATGAGATCTATAATTGGGATGAAACCGGCTTCCAAAATGGCGAAGGACTTAACTAACACGTCGTCTCTACGCGTCAAACTGCTAGCATTGCTACTGGAGATCGAGGTGAAACTATTACCGGCATTGAATGTATTGCCGCTGATGGCTGGGTGATTTTTCCATGGTTTCTAGTCAAAGGCAGCGTCTATATAGAAGACTGGTATAGCAATATGTCAACCTCTTCTTCGGCGTACAAAATTATCCACTTAACGTCTAATGGCTGGACGGATAGTGAGACTGCTTACCGATGGCTCTGCTCGTTTCATGAAGCTACAAAAAACCGCGTACGACGCGGGCGACCGAGGCTTTTACTAATGGATATAAGACATAAGACACATCTTTAAGACACATCTATAGATTGTTTTGCACCACGTGATACCGGTTTTCCGTGCTCTCACGTGCTCCGTCGTGCCCTGCACCGGTGCCCTGCGGTACATACGGTTCCCTGCTCTGGTGTTCTCCGCCTGCTCGCCGCCTGTAGGGTTAACCCATGTAACTATGCTGCCCAACATCTCATGCGTGTGTTTGCGCGTCTGGCCCGTCGCCTTCCCTCCTCTTTCTCCAGAGTCTGTGCACCGACGTGCCGCCGCGCCCCTACCGCTCCGCACGAATCGAATCGAATCGAACTTTTGCCTGATTCGATTCGATTCGAATTAATATTGAAAATAACGATTCGTACGAATTCGAATTCATGACCGGTTCGAATTCGATTCGGTGTTCGCGAACTTTTTTGTATTAAATCCTCATTGGGAAGGCGGTAAACCAAGTCGGGCAGTACCTGTAGTTGAACACCATCAGTTATAAGCAGCAATCGACACCAGACTTGTAGTCTAATAAACAACCCTTATTAAGTTAACAGGTACAGATATAACTAAGCTGAGGTTGGTCTTTGATATAAAATTTAAACGATTTGGCCTTGGATCGAATAAGCTGTAGGGCAGTATCAATATACATGGGTTTTCGCCAGCTACGTCCATGCACATAATATATATTCTTTACCCCTAAGTTTACTCAGTAAGAACACAACCTTATTTATAGTCGGCTTCGCTTCAAATTTAGATTATCTCATAGATCCCCTCGAGATACACGTAACACATCAATATAGAGCCAAAATATCAATAGTTGCATATTTTATTCAATGTAGAGTAAATGGATCGTCTAATCGGGTTAGCGGAGATTCCACAAGAACGCGTCTCCGCGCGTACGTGCTTTCAATCAGAACAACATTCGAATCGAGGTAAAAAGAGCTATCGAAAACCACCACTTCTGGGTGCTCCAGAGTAAGCAATCAAGCAAGACACAAGCTTGATATACTAATGTAACGTTAGATGACTTCTCCACTTGCTACAACATTCGATTGTCCTAATACTAGGAAGAATAAACGCGATTATGCGGCGCTTAATAAATACGGCCTCCTTGCAGAGGATGTATCACCCCCGCCCCCTCGAAAGAAGAGAGCGGTCCAGCCCGCCTCTAAGTCACCGACTCCTCCGATTTCAACGTCCCCTACCGCTCCCAGCGATGTTTCTAGAAGTTTATCGAACCTTGATACGGACATATGCCCATCCCAATCAATCTCTCAGATCGAATACGAGGTTGAGAGGGTTAAAATCAAGCAGAAAGATGAGAGTGGGTCGAAAGAGCGGAGCTGGGTATGGAAACACTACCGTACAACACCTGAATCTGGTACCTGGAGACTAGGAAATAAGGAGCGGCTCGAGCTTAAACACCAGTGTATTGTATCGCCATCTAGCTGTCGATTCTTTCGATTTGCATCTAAACTGCGATCTTCAACCACGGCGTTGAAACAGCACCTGCAGCGAACACACAAGCTCTTTCAGGACGGTCATCCAGAGTGCCAAGGACCATTAAGCTCATGGATTTCTAAGGAAAAGAAGCTCCCATTCGAAGAAGCTGCCCTGAATTGGATTGTATCGACCTACCAGCCGTTTACATGCGTCGAACAACCTTCATTTAAGGCCATGCTGAGGTCTGCAGGCTTTCAGGACTCCGTACTAAGTGCGGATACTGTTTCACGCCGATTATATCTTCGGCTTGATGCTCTTGACAATGAGCTTTTAATCTTGATGTCTTCAGCTTCGTCAATCGCGCTATCTCTTGATGGTTGGACAAGTCAGAACTCGTTGCCAATGCTGGCAATTAGTGCTCACTGGATGACCTCTACTTTTCAGCAATATCGAGCTTGTATTGAGTTTGTTGAAATCGAAGGCAACCACTCTGGAGAGAACCTTGCTGATATCGTCGCGACGGTTCTTGAGAGGTTTCATATATCTGATAAAGTTATGACGATTACAGCCGACAACGCATCTAATAATGACACCCTACACCGATGCCTTTACCGAAGGCTGTCTCAGCGGTATGATAAGTACCTGGCCGAGACCATCATCCGAGAAGGGAGGATGAAGTTTACCCAGAACTCCCAAATCCGCTGCTTTGCTCATACCTTGAATTTGGTTATGAAAACTATATTGAGGTCTCTACGCGCCAGCTCGCATAAGGAAGCCTGTGATCTTCTTGATGATGTTGCTAAGAGGAGCTGGAAGATGATCAATGCTCCTACTTCACCTATTGCAAAGCTTCGACTACTTGTCCTTTGGATTGCGCGATCTCCTCAGCGAATACAGAGGTGGGATAATCGACCTGGATGTACAAAAGCTATCAACTACGATGTTGATACTCGATGGAACTCTACCTTTGTTATGATTGAGAGAGCTGAAGAGTGCCGCCGGCAGCTCGAAGATACAGTCAACGATGAACCAGACATTGAAGCCTTACGTCTCACACCGAACGACTGGAGACAGCTCTCAGATATCAAGAAAATCCTGGCTCCCTTCAACGAATATACTGAGTACGTCTCCCGAGATAGCCCTTCAATTCATATGGCGGCGCGTATGTTTGAAGAGCTCCATTCTATACTCTTCGCTATCAAGGAACGACGAGGCGAGTGGCAGAAGGTCTCGCCAGCAATAACTATTCTTATTTCCGATGGAATCTCACTCCTGGAGCAGTACCACGACTGCGCCAAAGACAACGATATATACTATATCGCAAGCGTTCTGGACCCTCGAATCAAGACCAAGTGGCTCAAAACGCTACCAGATGGAGAGAAGATTATTGGCCGAATCAGGGCGTTCCTGAAGAAAGCATATCCCACCCCAAAACAGCCTGTATCGACTACTCTAAGCACTAATTGGAAGAGCTTCGAATATCGATTTCTGGAAGCCTTTCAGCCTACACAGTATAACGTCGCTGAATCTGATATCGACCAGTATTTTGATACTCCTACAATCAGCACTGGTTTCGAAAGAAGCCAGAGCCAGACTGAATTTATACTGAACTGGTGGAAGGCCAGCAGACTTGAATTTACTTGTATGGCTAAGGTAGCCCAAGATCATCTTGCTATACCAGCAGCAGAGGTAGATATCGAGAGATTATTCAATGGTGGGAGAGATGTACTGGGAATTCGACGTTTCTCTATGAAAGGCAAGACTCTTGGGACGCTAATAAGGCTGAAAGATGCTGTACGTTGGAAGTCTGAGTAGTTATATAGTTATGGTTTCTTTGGCACATGCGGTTGATATTCTGCATTCCAATGACATGTAAGAGAGAAGGCTTATAAGCCCTATTGTGGGAGTGGAATATTCAGTTCCTAATGTAATACGCGTGAATCTATCTAAAACGGGCAGTCGTGATTCCGTCCATGGATTGATTTGCTGAGGTCTTCCTGCAGAGACCGGACATCTCGAAAGTTCATCTCAGAACCTGGTTTTCCTAAGAAAGCTAGATAATAGTTCGCGAACCTGTTCGAACTTCGCGAATTTTGACGAATCGAATCGCCCATAGATTCGAAGCCCAAAAACCAAGGTTCGAATTCGATTCGATTCGACGAAATTCGCGAATTTCGAACAGTTCGAAAATTCGTGCGGAGCGGTAGAGAGTGAGAGTTTCTTTCTCTCGAGGTTAACATGTCATTGGTAGCTTTGGCTCGGGAATATCTGATCCGCTCCTTCTACATGTAGGAGCCGTCGCAACTTTGTGAATAATATCCCGCCAGTAAATCCAACCAATCTTTCGTAGAAGTCCACTACAGCGATGAAGAAACGGTCGTTACTTTCCGTGAGGCATTATTTTAACTGGAAACGGAAGGACGCTTAACAGATCAACTATCCATGGAACACTAGGATTAGGCGTGGTAGGCGTGTTTTAGGTTTCATATCCGACTTAAGCATCAGGGGCCCATGGTAGACAAGTAGGCAGACTTTAGTCATAATGCCTTGCTAGGCCTTACGTAGGAACTATAGATCGATACTTATGACCAATATTCATTTTCCCCTAATATATAGCTATATATTAAAATCTAATATTAGTATCTGAACTGGTTTTTATTATCGGTATTTGGGGACTGGAACGCTCGTTTTCCGATCATGTTATCTAAGTTGCCTATAACTAGTACACTCATTAACGGAACATGTACGCTTCGGGTAACGGTTTCTTGCTGTCCAGTCATGCGACAACGCCGTGACTGCTCAGTGAGCAGTCACATGGCTCCCTCGCCTTTTATTTTGTGGGGATAGTTCGACAGGTATGTCTGCTGAACAGCTCTCAAGATTGTTTAGGTCCGTACAAACACCCATGCAAGAGGACGCAAGCAGTAAGTTGATCATAATTCATCGATCCCAAGTGGCGACTTCAGAAGCGAAGCGAATATACTCGAGGCAACAGTAAACAAATTTGAGCTGTAATTTACACCCCCACTTTCCTCGACAATCAACTAGCTCGCTGCGCTCCTATTTCCCCTGATCGCTTCAAGGAAGATCGCAGCCGGTTGCCGTACATCCAGGGGCTACCGCAGCCATTGCATTATTCAGGCTGTCACACCAACTCCCCGCGGCCCCTATAGCAACACAGGCGCCATGAAACGCATCCCCACCAATTATACCATTATCATCAACATTATGAGCCTATCAGTATTAAGTCTAATGGTCCATAACGGTAGGAAGCTTCGGTTACTTACCCATCCAGTGTAACTGTAAGAGATTTCACCGTACGTCCCATCATTGTAGATTTTAATCCAGCCAGGGTACTTCTTAGCAAGATCTGCAGTAATGGCATAACCCCGTACTGGGTATGTATGAGAATATCCCGGGTATTTGACAGTGAAATCTGTGGTGCAAATGCAGTATTTGTGCGGATCAGCTGCTACCAAAGCGGCCCTATTCAGATCAATTTTAGAAATATGTATTTAGCTCAAATTTTTGCCATACTCACGGAAGGACAAGTAAAGCGGTAGAGAGATGCATTTTAATCAAAGTTAACTTATGCAAGGTCAAGATGTTGTAAATTGTAATAATCAAGTCAAGAGAAGAATGGTCGACTAGATACAGTATCCAATTTATATATTAGTTCAAGAAGGTTACACTAGCTGCCGTACCGTATCATAAAATTGGTGTCGATATTGACTTTGTTATTTTGACCCTCTTGCATGTCCTGAATTTTTCTCAATTCATTAAAAATGACGCATCTTCAAAAAGCACACTACTCCCCCCCGGGGCGTGGGCCCCCGAGTCGTGCCGGTTCCGTCTGCTGGCCCGGGGACCGCCTGTCAGTGAGGTGGGGGCTGGTAGTTGAACGGTACACGAGGTACGCTACTCTCTAGCACGTGGCCTTATCGCGTTCCTGCATAACTTATCCTTCGTTTCTTATCTACTCCGAACTTGCCTCCTCGTCGTACTTTAGTGCTTACGTCCGTAAAACTTTCTTTACGATCCGGTCCTAGAGTCTATCCGGTTGGGAATGCCGGGGGATCCCCTAAACTTGGTCGTACTTGAAATAGTAGCAAGGCGAACTATGGCTTCTAGCCCCACCTATAAAGCCAATGAAAGGGACAATCTATAAGGAGGATCCGGCACCGAGGTTGAGTGCATCACACTAATGTATGCCACAGAGTTAAGAAGGACATTTTGCCCCCTCAAATCTGGTGCCAAAGACATCAATGAAATAGTCTTCTCGCAACCCAGATTTCTATTTCAACCAGCTCAGAGTCATATATACCCGACAGAACGGTTGCCGTTGAAAAAAGCGGTCTCGATGTCTAACATGTGGAAGCTCCACCAAACAGCTAGATCCGGATGTGGCCGCGGACGACGCCGACCACGAGCGACATCTAACCATCCTCGAGACCTTTCGCCGTTATCCCACCATCGTCTTTTGGTCATTCTTCTAGTATATAATGGCGCTTGGGTATGAGCACCCCACTATTCACCATCACTCATCGTCGGGCGACTAATTTGTGATCCAGAGGGGTTCGACACGCAAGTCAATGGCGCCATGATCGGCGTTTCCGTGTTTCGCTCTTATTACGGGTTAGTCAGAACCTGTGAACGCGGGCATGGTTCACGCGCTAATCGGCCATCGCGATACTGTAGATACATGTATAATGGTGCTCCGGTGATCACCGCCAGCTGGCTCACTGCCTTCAACGTGACGGACTCGGTGGGCCAGTTCTTCGGCGGCTTTATCTGCAGCTGGGTCGCGGACCGAGTTTGGCCCTAGGCATTATTATCGTCATAGCCGGGATCTTCGGGGAAACCTTCTTATATACCTGTGCGGCCTTCGTGGTAAGCAAGCTGATCCTCGGCGTCGGGGTGGGTTTCTATCTCACGTTTAGGCCCATTACCTATTCCGGACTTGCACCCGTGCTTCTGAGCGGCATGTCGTCGGCGGGCGTCAATTTGGCTATTGCAGTCGGTCAACTGATCTCCAACGCGGTCACGGAAGGCTTCTCCAACCGGTCGGATGTGTGGGCGTTTCGAAGGCCGTTCCTGGTGTAGCTCTTGTTTCCTATTATCCGATTAACAGGTAGTTGGTTGTCCCTAGAGGCACCCTAGTACCTAGTCCGCCAGGGAAAATGGAGCAAGCCTAGCAGACACTACAGCGGCTTTACGGCTATGGGTTTGTCACGTCTTCCAAGCTCGCCGCCATCCAACGAACAGTGCAAGCCCATAAAAGCGCCTTCATCACTTTGGCTAAACAAACTGACTCTCCGTCACAGATGGGCTAGGCGATCTCGCGAAGTTAACCGTTGATAATTCAAAAGATGTGATGCATGTACCCACCCCATTGGTGCGGCACTATTGAAACCGTACCTTCTCCAACTGTTGACGGTTCGAGCCATTAGAGAATTCTCATGTACTTGAGCTGTTTCACGCCCAGACCACCGTATACAGCTTTATGCTAGGAAAACCATATATTACAGCAGTGAAGGCCACGGAGAAATAGGGCATGTTGCCTCACTGTAAATCTTCCAAAATACACAGCAGTCAAGCTGATTTCTTTACTCTTCACATCGGTGGTAATACACATCACTGTATATCATTAAATCATGCAAATTGGCCTGCTCATATTCTTCCTCAAAGGTCGAAAGCCTGTAGTTTATCCTACCGCGACGCTACTTTGGGACAGTGATTTAGAAAAGGGAATTACGCGAGTATGCTTTCGAACCAACCTAAGGTCTAAGGCTGAATCTGCGCGATTGCTGTCACAAATTCTTCTGAATCCAGATGGGTGCGCGCAAAGCTAAGGCCTGTCCCTCTTGCAGCCTTTCGCACCCTAAGTCAGCGCGTAGCTTAGGGATCGAAGCATCACACTGTAACCCAAGACAGAGACAATAATTTTGTAACTCGAAACGACTTTCGCACGGCTTCTCGGCCCTGTAATGCGTTGACAATCGTTTTCATTCTTAACAACAGCTCAATACTGTTAATGAGGCATTTCCTACCTAGTACAACCTCGTTTGCCTACAGAGTAAGCCGTCTGTCTCTCATGTACCTGATTAGCTGCGTTGACTAAACGAACCTCGAACTTTGGACCACGATGGTGCTTTCGTACGACCTCGGAGGGCCTTCGAAAAGATCTTGTGAATGCTAAGGTTCACGTCAAAGATATTTCACAAATGGTTTGGGCCGGAATCTGGCTAGGGGGTCGAACAGACCTAATTATTATGGAAAGAGACGGAGACTCGCGTTCGGGGAGGGGTTATACTGCCAAGCCGTATATTTCGACGCTCGAAAAAGGTCTGATGCCAATCTACACCCCTAATTTAGTATTTCGAACATTGTAGAGAGACAACTCTTTCTTGGCAAAAACGTTTTCTTGAAATATCTAACCAATCAGAGGTCCCAAGGCCTCGTGAATTAGTTCATCGTAATCGTAACCTCAAGCGCTACGGCCTGATACCCTTTTCATAGGGGGAGATGGCAGCGATGGTTGGGACGGGTGCGAACGCACAGATTTTGCCCCCTGACAGGAGAGGAACACCAAAAACCACGGCCCTCGCGGATCCGCCCCGATCCATGGACGACATCGCGGAAGGGGCCCGCCGGGTGCTTAACCACATCGAGAACAATGGCACGGAGGACCGGTACGTCACTGGATATATTCGTGCCGTCCGCCAGTACGCACTAAACGCCCAACGGGGAGACGGTCAGGGGATGGCCAAGGTGCTTGAGGCGCTGACCAAGATCAACGCCGGTACTGAACGCCTGAACCAGCGAATTAATACCATTGAAAAGACAACGAACACATTATCGACGGCACTATCTACCCCCGCGGCGAACTCTGCGGCAGCGTGGCGCAACTTCCGGGCCAAAGAATGGCAGCGCGACTTGGCTACGGCTGCGGCTCCTATCACCCGGAGCGGCGGCACATCGTCTCCAGGAGTACCGGAAATGGAACTTCGCGAGGACCGAGAGGTCATCGTCAAGGTCGGAATGAACCGCGAGCAAATCCGTGGATTGACACCAAAAGATCTGGTCGAGAGGGCTGAACGACAGAGGGTATCAAATGCCCGTCAGAAGAATTCAGGGGTACTGGCCGGACAGGCTTTCTTTGTCGCTGCTCGAAAATTGCCGTCGGGGGATGTGGCAATGATCGCCAACAGTGCGGCAGGGGCAGAGGTCCTCCGCAAACATGCTGCGTGGCTGAGAGCCTTTGGACCAGGCTCGGTGGTCCAAGAACCGTCATGGGGAGTGGTGGCGTACCATATTCCCGTGAGGTCCATGAAGGTTACTCCGGAGACGATGGCTGACGTTGCGGCTGAGCTGCTCAGGCAGAACAACTGGGGCGAAGGCGCTAAGATTCAGTATCTAGGATGGATGACCCGTCCGGGTGAGAGGGCGGAGGGCTCCATCCTGATCGAGTTCACCAGCCCAGTCGTGGCTAATCGCGCGATCATCTCGGGAGTCGTGTGGGGGAAGCAAATTCACAATGCATCACGATTCTGTCGTGAGGGGCGGATAAAGCTATGCAGAAAATGCCAAAAGCCGGGGCATATCCAGTCACACTGTTCCAACTTATTCAAATGCGGTCACTGCGCCAACGGACACCCGACCTGGGAGTGTCCGTCGACGAAGGGGCAAGCGATACCAGTCAAGTGCGCCAACTGTGGTGAAGGGCATCGCCCTACAAGTCGGGAATGTCCGGTGAAGGTTGCAGCGATGAACGAAGCCAAGCAAGCGCTGGCCAACTGCCCTGCATATCACCGCGTTCCTCTGCACCTCCGAGTGACGGCAAGCACTGGCAAAGAAGCAACTTCGACCAGGGCAGACCCCATGGCCACGAATGGACTCGAAGCGTCGATACACGCTCCAGAGGAGCAACGGGGGAAGAGCCCCGGCGGAACCCCCAGGATGCTGTAATCGACGTGGAGGCTGCAGCAATAGAAGTAGAAACATCACCAGAGGAAAACACTGAGCCTATTCAGCCTACTCAGCTCAAAAGAGGTCCTGGTCGCCCAAAAGGCTCAAGAACGAGGCCAAAGAATCCGAAACCAGCAATGATACCACTAGCATGCCAAGGGTCAACAAGGCTCCAAGCGGCCTCGAAAAGGCGCCGCACAGGCGAGCCGGACGACACCATGGACGAGCAACCAGACGACAATGAATGGCTCAGCATTCAACCCACTCCGGCCGATCTCCCTCAACCTGACACTCCGCAGGATAGCCGGGAACACCGACTTACCCAATTCATTAACGAGGTCACCTCTGTCAACATGGCCGGTAACACGTCCGAGCCTGATGACGAGGACGAACTGGACCCGGAGAGCCCCGAATACCGCAAATTGGTGGTTCTGAAATACAAGCAGCGACAAGCGATACCAATCGGATCTTCTCCGCCGATTTTTACGACGGATGCACCAACAATCGAAGACCCAAATGATGAAGTATGGCATGAGGCCAGCGAACGAAGCGATGACGAACAAACTCATCAATGAAATCGTTTGAGATTCTTCAATACAACGTACACAAATCGTGGCCAGTGATGGCAACGTTCCTCAGAGACAGAAATGTCCTCGCGGCGGACGTCGTCGCGGTGCAGGAGCCATGGAAGAACGAAATGCAACACACAACACACCAACCAGCGACGGCAACATTCCAGCTAATTTACCCACCAAAAGCAGCTGCCGACGGAACAACCCAAGGCCAGGACAATCAAGTCCAAGCCTCGGATCTCTCCCAACCGGGCGTATGCCTGTTTGTGTCTAAAAGGCTTGACCCGAGCACTTGGTCGTGTCAACTCGTCTCACAGGACTACCAGTTACTGAAACTTAGAAAGGCTCATCAGGGCAGAGACTGGACAGATCTCTTCATACACAACATATACAATAGGCCGGGCAGCAATACTCTTAGACATCTGAGAAATGAGCTGTCAAAACGACCTCATGGAGAACACATCATCCTTGGAGATATGAACGCGCATCACCCGAGATGGGGAGGAACAGGGACCAGGCTCGATCAGGAGGCCGAGCAACTCCTAGAAATCGCCAATGAATGGGGACTCGAGTTGACGACCCAACAAGGCAGACCTACCTGGTCTCGAAACGATCAGTCGTCGGTGATTGACCTCACCTTCATCACATCCAACCTTGTCAACAGGCTTATCAATTGCGAGAGGGCGGATGACATCGAACACGCATCCGATCATTTCCCGATCAGGACTGTGCTTGATATTATTACACCCATTGCAGTACAACAGAAGAGAAGAAACTGGAACGCAACCGATGATCAGAAACTCATCCAGAAGATCGAAGGAGGTCTACGGACAGGAGGCCTATACCGGGCAAATCCGCAAAGGATAGAAGCCAAATGCCAGGAGCTGATGGGAGCGATCCAAACAGCAATCGAGGAATCAACCCCATGGGCAAAACCATCCGCGTGGTCGAACCCCGACTTTGACGACGAGTGTAAAGTTGCGGTCAAAGAGGTTCGTCGCCTCCGTCGCAAACATACGAGAACTCAAGACCCCTACGACTGGATGTGCTACTCTGAAGCACGCAACAGAAAAACACGACTCGTCAAGAGAACCTTGTCAAGGGCGCACCGGCGCCGAGTCCAGCAGGTCATTGAAGATGGCCCACAGGGTATGTGGCGATTGGCTAAATGGGCAAGAAACCGAGATGGGGCCTACGAGAAGGGTATCACCCCTTCGCTGAAAATACAGGATCCCCAAATGCCTGGAACTCTCGCAGAAACAGTTGATCAAAAGGCAGAGGCATTCCGGATTGCCTTCTTCCCCAAACCGCCGCCAGCCGATCTATCCGACACGGACTCATTCCAGTACCCACAGCAAATCGAGTTTCCAGCAGTCACCGCTCAAGAGATACAGGAGGCGGTGCGAGGAGCGAAAGCAGGGAAAGCACCCGGAGAAGACGGTATACCAAACTCTCTCTGGCACAAGCTTATCGAGATACCGGTGGTTCTAGCAACAATGGTCCAGTTATTCAACGCATGCATAAACACGGGATACAACCCGTCACATTTCCAGCGCTCAATCACGGTGGTGCTCCGGAAGCAAGGCAAAAGTGACTACCAGCTCGCAAAATCCTACAGACCCGTCGCGTTGCTGAACACGCTCGGAAAGTTTCTGGAGGCAGTTGTCGCGCGACGGATCAGCTACGCAGCAGAAACCAACGGTTTACTCCCACGAAACCATCTAGGCGGGCGAAAGGGCATATCCACCGATCATGCTATCCACACTATCATCGACCGAATCAAGACTGCATGGGGAAAGGGCAAGCCAGTGGTATCTCTGCTAATGCTGGACGTGTCCGGAGCGTACGACAAT